AGTGGGCTGGCTCAGACCCGCAGTGCTTGTGAGGTTGGCACACGGCTGGACGGTGTTTCCGTCTGTGGCACATCTTGGAGTCAGAAGTGGCCTAGTGACACCCAGCAGCGGCAGCACTGTTAACCGAGGCTGTGCTGCTCCATCCATTCTCTCCTACATCATTTTGAACCCAATCCCGAAGGGCATTTTAGCCCTAAGTGTATCAGAAACTCTCTCTGAATAAAGACTTTCATTCTTTAGAAACATAATCACAATGCCACTTTACACTAGGGGAAAAAAACCCCCTATTGGCACATCCCTAGTAGTATCAAATATATAGGCAATATTCAAATTAAATAGTTCTTTCTTTTTAAAAATAGGATTTAAGTAAGACGACACATTGTGCAGGAGCTCGGGCCGCGGGGTCCGTCATGTTGAGCTGCTAACCAGAATGCCTCCAGTCTTCCTCAGCTTGAATCTCACCCTGTGGCTGTGAAAGATCGAATGATCGATGACCGTCCTTCAGTTAGGATTTACAGCCTTGTAACCTGGTGGAGGGTTTCTGTGAGTCATAACCAGCTTGGCAGTTTTACGATTGGTTCATACGCTCATTTAAGTCTTTTTTAAATCTTGAGGTTTCTTCTCTACATCCTTCCTCCTCCAACTCACTCTTTCCCTTAAAATTGATATTTGAAGAAATCGTCTTTATCCTTAGAAATTTCTCAGCATCTGGATTTTTTCTAATTACACCCTTGTGATATAATTGAGGATGTTCTTTTCTTTCTTTTAAATTGGAAGTTGAGGCTGAGGCTTGATCAGATGAAGCTCTCAAGACTTCCTCCCTCAAAAATGATTTAATTACTGTTGTTAAGGATCATCTAGTGTGCTCCAACCCAGAGAGACTCTCCCACCGCCATAGGCATCAGAGCAGAATGTTCGCCAGCCTGCACAGCTCTCACACTCCTCGGTTATTACAGCCACTGGGCGAGTCCATGTCCTTGAGGGCCTGCCTCTTGTTCGCTCATCTCCTTAAGCAAGTACCATGTCCTCTAGGAACTGCCCCTCCTCATAGCATGCCCACAGCGCATCTTCCCTTCTGGGGATCATTCTGATGGTACTTTTTCTAAGACAGGTGGAGTCCATGAGATAGTAGCCAATGCCATTATTCAGATGCATCAGTTGTGTGAAATAGGTGATACGTTTGCTGTCAGGGACCTCTCTCTCATCTGCTGAAGAGCAATGGTGATAGTTTAAAGACTAAGACACACCAGATCCAATCCATGATCTTTTTCCCTTGCTGCTTATGCATCTGAAAGTTGATGCCTTTGAATTGTGGTCTTGGAGAAGGCTATGGAATAGCTCATGACCTGCCAAAAGAACACACAGGTCAGTCTTGGAGGAAGGACGGCCAGGGTGCTCTTTCGAGACAAGGATGATGAAACTTCTCACAGACTTTGGGCATGTTGTCAGGAGGGACCTTGGAGAGAGACAGCGTGCTGGGAGAGCTGCAAGGTCAGAGAGAGAGGAAGACCGCTAGCAAAGTGCGTTCCATAGTGTCTGTAACAGTGCTCAGGCAGCGCGAGTCATGACGGTGGCACACGAGAGGGCAGGATTCACATCTTCACGGGGTTTCTGAGAGTTGGAGTTGATGGTACTTAACAACAATCCTCATTTGTGATATCATTTTCTTTTATAAGGAAGCACATGGATTTGGTTCAAAACATTATATAATTTAGCTTCTCAATTTCTTCGACCCATAGATTGTTTAAAATTATGTTGTCTTAATTTTCATATAGCTTGCAGGTGATCACTTCATTTACCTCAGAAAATCAACAACAAAAGTCCTTAAGCATTCATTCATGAAATTCCTAGAGTGCTTGACATAGTGTATTCGTATGATAATGTACCTGAGAATTTTTTTAAATGACTTAAAGCAATAATGTATTCTCTGCCCCCATTTTTGGGGTTGAAGGCTCCTGTGGGTATTTCTTGTGGGGCCTTTCATGTGGTTGTAATCAGATAGCAGCTGAGATAGACAGACTTACTAATTTTGCTGGCACAGTTGGGACAGCCTGGCCGTGTCTCTGCCCAGGATTCCTCCAGGTACCTAGCTAGCTCCTCTTTCAGGGAACATGGCAGTATGAAGGCAAGTCCCTCCCCTGGCATTGCTCAGCGGGAATATTGTACCACATCCAAACCTTTTAAGGAAGTATATTATCTGGTCTTTTTCTTAAAAATTCAGAGGAGGCTAAGTGCATTGAGGCAGTCATTATAGTTGTTATTAGGTACTGTTGAGTTAATGCATAGCAACGCTGTGAACAGGAGATGTGAACTCTTGTGTTAGCCTATGCCATCCTCATCATTTCTGACACATTTAAGTCCGTGACTGCAGTCACTCCATCTGATTGTCTTCTTTCCTTTCACTGATCTCCTCCTCCCCAAGAATGGTGATTGTTGTTAAGTGCCGTCGAGTTGAGTATGACTCAGCGACCCTAAGAACAACAGGTGAGAATGCTCTCCTCATCATTTCTGATGTATTTGAGCTCATTGCTGCAGTCACAGTGTCAGTCAGTCTGGTTGAGGGTCTTCTGCTTCACTGACCCTGCACCTTTCCAGCCTTGATGCCCCACGCACCATGGACATTGCTTTCCAAGCATGATGGACATGCAGTAGTGGGTGTGCAGATGCCCAGGGTTAGGCAGGGGTTCTTTGCGTGTGCATGGGGCGGACCTCATGACACCACTAGTAACCACGCATGGACAGGGTACTGATGTTTCAAACTTGATTATGTCTTAGCAGTTTTTAAAAAAACAAATAATCAAACAATTAAAAAAATGTATTTTTTTTTTTAATCTGTAAGAGCCAGATCCATAGCAGTATATGCACAGAAACTTTGTGGGTGGTTTATGTTTAAAACTTTTTGATACCTATCAGAACGTGGCGTACCAGGGTGGGTTAGGGCTGGGTTTTCACTGCAGGTTTCACAGAATTGTGCGGTGCTGGCCAACAGGCACCCCGTGGGGAGTGTCTGAGCAGAGCCAGCGGCTCAGTGGTGAGCAGTCACACGGCTAGGGTTTCTAGAGACGTGGCTTGAAAATCCTGCTTTCCACCACAAGTCACGGCTTTTAACTGTAATTACTTGGACAAAGGTTTCCATACTTTAAAACCAGAGTATATTCATGCCTTGGGAGTCTCTCTCAGATCTGTGACTCCTCTCTTTCTTTCCCATCGTGATTTATTTGCTGAAGAAACTGCTTTGTTTATCCTGTTGTGTCCCACAGACTGACCTTTTTTATCCTTTCAAGTAATATTCTATTGTGTTTTAGGTGAAAGCTTATACAGCAAATTAGGCACACAGACTGGATTTTGTTCTTGAATCGTTGTGGTGGAGTTAATAGGTTCTGTTATGCATGTGTTGTGAATTGGTAGCTGGGCGGAGCAGAGCAGGAGACTTTATCTAGACAGGGGTTTGGCTGTGTAATTATGTCAGAGGCGATGCTTATGTCTTTCATCAGCTGGTACATAAAACCTGCTTCACTCTCTTATTGCAGTGTTTGCTCATTTTCTTTTAATTCATTTTCCTTGTAACAATTCAAAGCTTTTTGAGAGAGGTGATGGTGTAACATTTATGATCTGAGCTTTAGTTAGAATTCCAGAATCTGCTGTATTCTTGGACGGTAACTTTACCTCGAACTACAGTTGATCTGTGAAGTTGGGATAATGGTTCCTGTCTCATAGAGATTTTAGAGTTAAATGCCATTATGCACGGAAGAGAACCCAGCAAAGAACCTTACATTTATGCTACCCATTATGGTTCTTTTGTAAATCTTAAATATATGCTAAAACAATTTGAAAGGTCTAGTAGCTAGACTTTTAACTGAGGACATGAAGTTAGTTGTTGTTGTTAGGTACCATTTATTTGGTTTCGACTCCTAGGGACCCTAGTACAACAGAACCATCCACTGCCCACTTCTGCACCATCTTCAGCATCATTGCTGTGTTTGGTCCCATTGCTGCATCTGCTGTGTCAGTCCTTCTAGTTAAGGGGTTTCCTCTTCTTTTTTTTTTTCTAATCTGATTTAAAAAGCATGATTTCTTCCAGGACTGGGGTCCTCCTGACCATATGCCAAAGTGAGGTGAAGTCTCTCTCTGTGTTTGCTTTTAAGGAGCATTTTGGTTGCAATTCTTCCCAGGCAGAGTTGTGTGTCCCTGGAAGGGTATGGCGTGTTCAGCATCCTTTTTACCCCCTTTTGATTCAGAGGCATCAGCTTTTCTTCTGCCTACTTGTTCATGGTCTGTGTATCCATGGAGTTGAGAAATTAAAAACACTGTGATGTGGGCTAGGCAGCTTTAGTCCTCTTTGCTCTTTAAGAGAGGGTTTTACAGCAGATTTGCCCAAGCCTCGTGCCGTTTGATTTTGTGACTGCCGCTTCCTCGTTGCTTGTGGATCCTGGTGAAATGAGATCCTGATAACCTCAGACTTCGCTGTGTTTGTCACAATGTGTATTAGTCAAGTTGTAAGGATGGTTTCTTTTCATTAAGGTGTAAACTATACTGTAGCTGGCGAGCCTTGGTGGCTCAGTGATAAGGAACTGTGCTGCCAGTAAAAAGGTCCATCCACAGTTCCAACACGAGTTGCTGTCATGTGCTGTTGATTCATCTGTAACTCAGAGTGACCGTATGCACAGTAGCTCTAAACTCTGTCCTCTCCTGAGCCAAGCTCACTGTCTGCAGCACACCTGTCCTTGGTACCCCAGTCAGCTGTGTCGCTCTATCTCATCTAGGGTCTTCCTCTTCTGTGTTGCTTAGAGAAATGTTTAGTTAATTATCAGTCTGAGAAGAGAGGCTCTGCTTTCACACGTTAATGTAAACTGCTGAGCTTACGATAAGGTTCATTTCGAGTGACTTTGTCCGTGCTTCGGATGTTTAAGCATATTCATAGCTGCCAAGCGCCCTCTGCCCCTCCAATACTAGTGAGAGGTTCTTCGGTTGTAACAGCTTACTGTAATATTTTTATTTTCAGTGTAATGTTCAAGCTCAGAGATGCCTTATGTGGATCGCCAGAATCGTATTTGTGGTTTTCTGGACATTGAAGAAAATGAAAACAGTGGGAAATTTCTTCGAAGGTACTTCATACTGGACACCAGAGAAGATAGTTTCGTATGGTACATGGATAATCCACAGGTTGGTAAAATCCAAAGTGTTACCTGATAAAAGCACACACCTTCCTCCTATGAAGTGTGTGGTACAGGCTTCAGGATTTGTCTTACTCTTATTAGACATGTGTATTTGGGCTCATACCCACTGACCCTGCTCCCCGACTGCGCAGCCCCTGACGCTTGCTCTCTCATTTGATGTCAAAATGACAGGACATTTATATGAGAAGAAATAATCTATAGCCTGTGTTTTCCTCCTTGGGGGAGAATCACTGTTGCTGATAGAACATTCTTAAATCATTTAGATTTTAGATACTGTCTTCCACAATGTGAATAGAGCAGTGTGTGTAGCACACAAACAATATAAAAGAAAAATAATGGGGATAAAAAAAAGATGCTGTTTCTAGGTTAGGGACCACTTATTCTACCATTTAGATAAATCCCAAGCTGGTGGAAACCATTAACATACTCACCAGCTAACTCATAGGGCTGGAGTTTTGAGTCCACTTTGAGGTACCTCAAAATTAAGGCCTGGGTGTCTACTTCCACAGCATCAGCCGTTGAAACCCCATGGGGCACAGCTCCGATACGCGGCGAGGTGCACGGAGTCAAGCTAACCGGGGGTTAAGCATCTGATTTTTCGTTTAAACTACTTGATGCCCTTGCAGATTTATATCCTTTCACCATTTACTTCCGACTTGTGTGCCAGTCGTTGTAAACCATTCATGAATTGAAATGCACTTTGATTTTATTGTTGCTTTGCAAAACACTGAGTAAATGTCATAAATTAAAAATATATTGTTGTTATGGATCATTGGGTCAGAACTAACCCATAGCTTCAGGTCAGCAGGTTCTCAAAGGTAGTACATGGCGTGGGAGGAGATTGCCCATCTCCCGCAGAGTCACTGGTGGATTCAAACTGCGTGCCTTTCACTTGGCAGCTCAGCTCTTCACAGCTAACCCACTAGAGCTCCCTAACTCAAAACTAGAATCCCTGTTTTAAGACCTAGATGAGAGATTATCTGTTGGATAGTTTTAAACTTTATCTGTGAAACTCTTTAATAAAAACTTATAAAACAGCTGAGGATGGAGATTTTTTTTTAAAAAGAAAATTACATGTTAAATAAACAAGGGGTGACTCTCTGGGGAACGTCTAACCCTGCCTTGGCATCCCTGGCCTGGCGGGCTGCTTATGCAGATAGGATGGAAGACCTAGGGAAAGTGCTGGAGAGATTTGTTCTAGATCCCTCACAACCAGTGATCCTCATTACCCTGTCCTGATTTTTTTTAATAGAAAATAATAAAAAAAATAATTTAGAAAGGGCCTTGGTAGTATTCAGCTGCTTCCTGAACGGAAGAGACCCATCTATCCCTGAGCTACATTTTTCCTGTTGGAGCTGCATGTTGCTGAAATGTACTGAATGCATTTGGGAAAGGTTCAGTGAAACTCTAGTTGCTTGTATTTTCTGCCTGTAGTGGTCGGGAGCACTGCTGCCATGCCAGAGGCAGGCGGTTCAAATCCACGAGCTGCTCCATGGGAGAAAGGTGGACAGTCTCTTCTTGTGTGATAAAACTGCTTCTGAAAACCTGCAGGAGGATCAGCTCTGGGTTGGCTCTGACTCGGTGGTGCACAAAACAGTAACAATCCTAGGAAGCTCTGGGGGCATTTTTGTAAGACGTTGTGCTGTTAACCCAAAGGCAGGTGGTTTGAATCTATGAATTGTGGGAGAAAGATGGGGAATTTCCTCTCCTGTGGTTTGTTGATGTTGTATACAGTTGAGTCAGCACTGACCCATGGCTGACCCGCTAGCGGGTGTTCAGAGGACTCGATTGCCCATCTTTCTCCGTTGGGGTAACTGATGGATTCAAAGCTTGTGCCTTTGGGTTGACAGTGCACCTCCTTACTGCAGCCTCAGACAACCTACCAGAGGATCGACTGGGAGTCAGTTGTCTGGACGGCACATCGGCTGTCCTAGCTTGAGCTCTGGGAGTGTAGTCCGTGGGGAGGTGGCTGCCCACCCGAAAGCAGCATCTCTAACAGGTTCACCCCCCGCTGCGCTGTGGACGAGCGATGGGCAGTCTCTTCCCGTGTGATTTACACCCTCGGAAGCCCAGTGGACAATCAGATAAGGAGATGGGTCTGACACGGGGGCAGTGAGTCAGAATCCTAGTTTGGACTCATTGATCCTAGTTCTCTGTAAAGTAAGTTTAATCTTCTCACATAAGACTTTCAAATTATGAAAGACAGTATTTTGATTCTAATTTTATTCCTTGAGTGCTGACTTTGTGTGCGACTGTTTGGGTCTGAACTGTCTTTTGTCCAGCAGCACTGTTGGCTCCATGTCCGACCCCTCCTTTCTGGGTAGAAACCCCTCTCTGGGGCAGTAGTAACCTGTTGGGCCATTACATGAGGATTACCCTTCCTGCTTTGCCCGGGCAATGGGAGCAGCAGTGGATGAGCAGAACTGAAAAGCTCGTGCCCACCATTTTTTACATAAAGAGCTTTCCTGACCTTTCTTGACCCTCTGTCTTCGTCTGTGGCACAGGTCTCTCCCAAAGGCCTTTTCCCAAGGTAGGAGTGGAGTACTTCCTCTGACAACTGTTGGAGGCTCCCGTGACCCCAGCTCATGGTGAGGTAGAAGCTTAGAACTGCCCCAGGAATGTGCGAGGCTGGAAGTCCTTCCAGAAGCACACTCTGTCCTGTGAGGCCACTGGTGGGCTCAGATGGCTGCCTTGAGGGTCACAATCCAGGCCCACCAGACATCTCCGTATCGATAAAATAATCCTGGTGATGAAAAAAAACATTCGATTTCCCCATTTTGGGGAGCTCCTTCATCACCTGACCACTGCTTTCAGATTGACTTTGCAGATTTGCATTGGGATGTGCGTGAATAAGAAAGTAGTTTCCATTGCAAGTGACTTTGAAAAGTCTTAAACTCTGAAAAAATGAGGAAATCCTAAGTAACAGATGGTTTATTTTCCTTTTTATATTAAGTGTTGTACTTTCTACCGCTCGTTCGTTATCAGATGATAAATTTAGAATCCTGAGTTTTTTAGTTGTACTTGAACAGTCCTGCTTGTCTTTTGAACTTGCTTTGTCCCCCAGCCCCCGTGTTGCTCTGCATGGTGCACTGTTTGATCTGCAGCCTCTGTGTCAGGCTGTGGCCTTTCACCCCCCACCCCACCCTGCACGAAGGCTTAGCGCTCTCTTCAGCTCTTTCAAATAACAGACTTGGGGAGGTCGGGAAGGCATTTTCACATCTCACTTCCTTGTCAGGAAAAGAGCCTATAATTAGAAACAATAACAACAAAACCCTAGAACTGGAAACATGCAGCATTGTGCATGAGAACACAGCTGAAGTTTTAAAGGTAGATGTTAAAAATTAGAACGTTATTAGTTATTTATAACTTGTGTTTGAAAGATTTTGTGTGGCATATGGTGTAGAGGAGAACGGTGGCGGGTTTTATTATACACAGGCTGGAAGTTGAGGATGATTCGTCCACAGTAGCCACCTCATGGTTGGGAGTCTTGAGTCTTTGGAAGGTCTAGGCTCCCGTGGAGGTAACTGTATCCAGTTGCCTGATCCACGTCTGGGAAGCACTTCCTAATCATTCATGAGAGTCCCGGAGAG